CAATACATTTGTTACTCTATAAGGTGCCACAGGACTCTTAGTCTGGATCTGTAAAAAGCAACAAACACGGCTACCCCTCTGATCCTAGTCACAGACAATCTATTTCAACCATGAGTTGGCGCCAGAGGGCTTTGTGACAGGCCATCCGTTACTTGACCTGTCAGACCATGTAGGCTTCTCTGCAGCTTGTTCTGTATCTCCCTGAAGAAAATACTTTCTTCCTCCAGTGGGAGAAGCTCGATTTGCCTCGCTGTCCCACTTTAATTTTTATTAGACCAGAGGCCTAATCCTCAGAGATGATCAACACCCTCGACCACTGCTGGGTGACAGAGTTTGGCACTCTGCCGAATTGGGCCCCTGCTTCTCTCTGAAGAGGGTGGTGGGGAATGAGCTGTTTAAAACTAGTTGCTTCAGAGACCTCTGCAGAGATTTGTCTCCAAACCCTAAGCAGCCTGCCCCTTGTAATACTTCTGGTAACCATGCACCCATCAGTATACACATTCACTGGGCCTGATTCTCTTGTCAATGAGTGTTTGTGTCTAGGGATGTATACTACTGGGTGGATTGTTACCAAAAGTGTTACAAGATGCAAATAAGGGTGATTTACAAGAGGGTGAGTGAGAGGGGAATCAGGCCTGCTCGTGAGTCACTTCTGATTTACACTGGACCTCACTTCCCCCTCCACCCCCCTTTTTCACACCAGTGTAAATCAGGAGCAACTCCATTGAACCCAACTCCCCTCTTACCCATTCCAATGGAATAAGTTGCACCTGATTTATACCACCGAGAGAAGAGAATGAGGCTAGCTTTCTACCATTCGTTCTCCAATTGAAGAGGTCATCTACAGCCCCAGGAAGTTATCTGAATGTCAGCTATATCCTCCAAATCAAGGCCATGTTACCTCATGTGAACATTTGCCTCCATTATCTAAATTTCTTTAATGTTGAAAGAATAATTCAGGTGCAGTAGAAGGAGGGGAGGGGAACCTCTATCAAACTGCCCCTCCTCCTCTGAAGCAAAACATCTCAGCTGTCAAAGCAACCAAATTGAGACTACAGCCGCCTTAAGGAAAAGAATCACTTAGCATTTCATTAGTGTGAAGTACCATGTTAATTCATGCCGTGGTAGCAGAAGTTGTAAAGCTAGGGTTACCATATTTTGTGCCTCCAAATGGAGGACACTCCACGGGGCCCCGGCCCCGGCCCC